GGCCCACATAATGCCAGCCAAGCATGTAATATTATCGGAGGAGATCTGAGAACAAATAAAAAACAACCTGTTCTGGACAGACCTCTTCAGGCAATTTGCCATTTGCTAAACTCCTGGGTGAGATCCTAATATCACCTGAATTCAAACGTACAGAATAGGCCTGCATCTTTATAGCTTCGTTATTCAGAAACATGTTGTGGTTCATTCTTTTGCATAGGCGTGTTGTGTTTAGAGAACTGAATGTGCAAAAAGAAAATGAATGATTAACCCATAGCACATATTTGACCATAGTTTGAGATGCTGGTTCCTCTCTGGTTGGATGACACTTACTTTATCCTGTTTTACCACAAAGGAATCGCTACTTATGTACTCTAGACCATTTCACCACTATAAGCGTAAACATTCCAAATATGTCCCAGGTTATTTCCTGTTGCAGTAATATTATGTGAATGACATAAACTGTCAGGAAGTAAAAATGGACCAAAGCTGTTGCGTAGCAATGCAAATGTGCCAGAGATATGCACGCTTGGTTGTAAAAGCATTAATTCCCTTCACTTTAAACACTGTGAGTGATGCCTTGCCTGTGCTACATCAAACTATACTATTCATGAAGTCAGTGTTGGAAAAGCTACAATCAAAGTCTGTATTAAACAAGCAAGGGTGTAACGATGACCTATTTCCCTTGTGAACATGTGAACCATGTTATAGGTTTGTTGGGAAAACAGCAGATTCACGGCAGCCTTAAAGGGAGGCCTCACAACTGCAGCCTCTTAAATTGATCTGGTTTGATTTATTTCCTGTTTAATAACCAATAAAGTCTCAGAAGCCACACTGCTAAAACAGCGATGCCATCTTCTTTCTGGTGCTTTGTGGCAAACTGTGGAAATATTGTGTGTTTTGCATTTAAACTCCACTAGGTGTCCTTGGGCATTGTGTGGGTGTGGATGGAGCACAAAAGGCCGGCATCGTGCTCACTTCGTCCAGCGGGGGGGGGAGCAGTGTGTAGCTGTTGTAGTCCCTCACACTTACGTATTGTGTGGAGTGTGTTTCAGGCTGTTCTCAGTATCTCCAGCCTCCTCCACCTCCAGCTTTTGTCGACAAAGCGCCCACGCTGCCCACAGCCACCTCGAAATCAGCACTTCGTCTCCATGGATATGCAGGACTTCTGTCAAAAATAAAAGCACTTAAAGCCTCTCGTTGCTGTGTAGTGGAGCGGCAGAGAGAAGAGCCCACTTCCCTGCCATAGCTGCTCTCCACTGAGTCGTGATTAATATTCAAAGATGAAAAAAAAGCATAATTACCCCTGAGCAAGAAGAAAACCATCGTATTATCATCAGATAAGGGTGCAAATATGAAAGACACTTAAATTACAAAATTACAAATGTTAAAAGCTAAAGATGGAACAGCTTGCAGGCATATGAAATATCCTCACATGCTTTTGTTTTATTCTTTAGCTTTGCATTATGAAACCCAGAAATACTCATTTGTGCCTCGTTTCCGTTAGTCTGCATCAACAGAAATCCACTCGTTGGTTTTGTCCCTGTTTACATCTAACCAGTTGAATTAACATGGTGACTCATTGGTCTTTACATCACCTTCTATTCAAGGTAAGCAAAAAGGCTTTGACTGGCTTTGAGTTGCAGTGCTGCAGTGTTTGGAGACAGTGGAGTGGGAGGTGAAGAAGAGGTCAAACGGCAGCGTTTCAGAAGCGTTTTGCTCCACAATTGATTTCTCAAGGAAATGCATTGCCATGACAACAGCACCAGGCGAGCGGCAGGCGAGCGCCGTCAGCGCTCGGAGGATCTCTGAGCTTCCTCACACGGATCTGGGAAGAAACTCTTAAACACACCCTGTAATTGTTATTTATTCCCCCAAATAACGTGTGCTAGCTGTCATACGAAGCTCTATCTTTTCTCCGAGGTTTCAATAACATGAGTACTTCCGGGAAAGAACATCCGCAAAAGTTCCGTCTGAATGGGCTCAAGGCCCTTTCTGTTTCCAGAATACATTAATAATATATCATCTTTCTCTCCATCTTCTTTCTCAGAACTAATTTGGAGGCACTGCAGAAGAAACTAGAAGAGCTTGAGTTGGATGAGCAGCAGCGGAAACGCCTGGAGGCCTTTCTGACACAGAAGCAGAAGGTGGGAGAGCTGAAGGACGATGACTTTGAGAAGATCTGTGAGCTGGGTGCCGGCAACGGAGGAGTCGTCTTCAAGGTCTCCCACCGACCCTCTGGCCTGATTATGGCGAGGAAGGTAAGCTGTGGCCCTGAAGGTTTGTCGTAGGAAGGGCTTAAAAGCTTTCAGAAAGCCACTCTGCCTAAACTTTATCTGGTAGAGATGTGTACCAAGGAACTGCATACATGATGTATAATGAACATAGTTCTCTTCTTCAGTATGTCAGACAGGCAATGTTTTTTACAGGCATCATCAATGTTTGCAGTCAAATTTGTCATTTTCCAGTATTTTGTGAACGTAAAATGTGGATTAATGAAACGAGTCTGTCACAACGTCAAAGAGCCACTGTATATCACACAAGATACATGCAGTCATGTTAAAGATTTCTTTCCTCATGATCATTTTTACATTTTAACACAAGTAGTATATAATGTTCTGTAGAGATTGAGTCTCCCAGTATTTATGCTCCATGTGATATGAGAAGATAAATACAACCTGATGTCTGCTGTGTTCCAGCTGATCCACCTGGAGATCAAACCAGCCATTAGGAACCAGATCATTAGGGAGCTGCAGGTGCTGCACGAGTGTAATTCCCCCTACATTGTGGGCTTCTACGGAGCTTTCTACAGCGACGGAGAAATCAGCATCTGCATGGAGCATATGGTACTCATCTTTAATAAGTTCTGGCTCCCAGTGTGTTTATACAGCATTTACTTTGAGTGCTGCTTTACAGACGGTGCCGACGGTGTCTGCCATGTTTTTTCCTTCCATGTAACTCATTAGTATTGAGAGAAACTCACTTTTGTTTAAATGATTTTAAACTTAAATGAGTGCTTTCAGTAGATGCTCTCCATATTTCCCTTCCCTGCTGGCTGTAGGACGGTGGCTCCCTGGACCAGTCGCTGAAGAAGGCGGGCAAGATCCCAGAGCAGATCCTTGGCAAAGTCAGCATCGCTGTGGGTAGCTCCAACACCTCGACTGCCAGTTCCGTGCTCCGATCGTCCCACTACAGCTATATTTGTTTTGTTTTTGGATAGAAAACTTGGGTCATCACTGAGCTAATACACACTGTGTCTTTTAAATATTCTAAAATGATACTACGCTGATAAGCAATATTTCTCTTTCCAGGTCATTAAAGGGCTCTCCTACCTGAGGGAGAAACACAAGATCATGCACAGAGGTCATTAACTATTTAATTTACTAAAAGATGTTATAAGGTTTTTGCCTTTACAAGAACTTTACTAATTAATTAATGAAGACTGTGTGCTTCAGAGTATTGAAATCCCTATTTCACATCTTTGTTGCACATATGAATGATGAAATTAAATGTGACAGACACACAGTGCACGACATGCACCGGGCCTTTGCAGCAGCCTGTTCTTTTGTGCTTACTGTTCCGTGTTAAATATTTGCACCGCCATGTCCTCCTAAACATACCGCATGTCCCTCTTTCAGACGTCAAGCCTTCTAACATCCTCGTGAATTCCCGCGGTGAGATCAAGCTGTGCGACTTCGGAGTGAGCGGACAGCTCATAGACTCCATGGCCAACTCCTTCGTGGGCACCCGCTCTTACATGTCGGTGAGTTCAAATGGATGACACTTTCCTGCTGCTGTCATACACACATTAGCCTTTACGATTCCTGTTACAATTGAAGCGTCAGATTTAATGTGGTTGGCAACTAGCGTTCCCAATTTTGATGACTCAGAAATGAACTAGGACGAGCTTTATACACAGGCTTCACGTCAAGTGGGCCAAACATCTTTTCAGCATGGACAGGTGTTTAAAGTTAGCCCTGCACACTGCACTGGAACATGCAACAATCAAAAATATCACAAACTGTTAGCAATGAATTTGTTTTTAGCCTGTCTTTTTCTATGTTTTCTAATTATACAATCCACTCATGGTTGTAGTAGTGATACAATTGCATGTGTGTTGTGCAGCCAGAGCGTTTACAGGGAACCCATTACTCTGTTCAATCGGACATCTGGAGCATGGGTCTGTCCCTGGTTGAAATGGCAATTGGGCGCTTCCCTATCCCACCGCCTGATGCTAGAGAACTGGAAAAGATTTTTGGCTTCGCAGTAGAAGGGGAGGCAGCCTGCAACGAGTCCTCCCCAATGCCACAACCCCCCGGGCGACCAGGCAGCTGTAAGTCTGACACGACGCTGGTTTGTCCTGCGATTCTGCAGAGTGGCCTTTTCTAAATATTTATAAAGGGTCTGCTGAAATAGTTCACACAGAAATCAATGACGGCATTGTGATGAAGTGGCATCTATTAGTGACCTTGTGTGATGAGTGCAGAGGATGCAGTAAATTATTAAAGAAGCTGAAATTATTATTTTCCCCTCCAGCTTACGGACCTGACAGACCACCAATGGCTATATTTGAGCTGCTTGATTACATAGTCAATGAGGTGAGTGTGCCCCTCATACGACCACATCCTAACATGAACATACCTTTGCCACCAGTTTGATCCAATCGGTGCTGACTTCATATTTACATTTTCAGCCTCCACCAAAGCTGCCTGGGATATTTAGCTCTGAATTTCAAGACTTTGTGAACAAATGGTATGTAGGAGAAATAAATTCACAAACACCATTGGAATATCCACGTCTGCCCGTCGGGCTTGCTGCCACCTAGTGCTTTTAAAATGCACTACGCTCTGTCTCCATTGCAGTTTGATTAAGAATCCTGCAGAGAGAGCGGACCTGAAACAGCAGATGGTGAGTGTTCAATCTTATCAGCATGCTCATTCCCTGAATGTCTTT